CTCAGTGCCCCTGGCTGGTATGCTTGCTCCCACACCTTGTCCCTCGTTTTTCGGTCTGTTGGGTCCGTTTTCCCAGGGGGTTCTGCTGGGGGCTGTGCTTTGCCTTTCAGTCGTGTTCTCCGCCGGCAAATGTGGTGGTTTGGGCTCCTCCTGGTTCGATTGTGGGTTCCTTTGGGTTCCTTGGTTTCGTTCTGGAGGTTTCTTCCTCTTGGGCCCCCTTTTGTGGGTTCAGGGGACTTTGTTTCCTCGTGTGACCCGGTTCTGCCTTTTGGGGTTCCGGGGTCTTCCTGGCTTGCAGACTGATCTTTTTGGGTCTTGGCACATGTTGTGGTTGTGCTGGGACTTTGCGGTTTTGCTGTCAAGGTGGGCCTTTTGATGCAGTTTTGTGCCTTCTTTGCCTGGCCGGCGTAGTGCTCTCTGCCCACTAGTCGGCAACTTGTACTTTTACAATATATGTCCTCACCTAGTTGTGCTTGCCGGGGTTGAGCTCTGGCTCCTTGGTCCCGCCTCTCAACCATCTATCAACAGGTAATTACCTAAGTGTAATTACCTAAGTGTAGTTACAGGATGAGAGCTACGCTCGTGGTGTCCCGTCTTCCCAGCACTCTTTGTCATATAACGCTTTGAAACTACTAACGGTCTTGGCCTCCACCACCTTCTCACTTAACTTGTTCCAACCGTCTACCACTCTATTTGCGAAGGTGAATTTTCTTATATTTCTTCGGCATCTGTGTTTAGCTAGTTTAAATCTATGACCTCTTGTTCTTGAAGTGCCAGGTCTCAGGAAATCTTCCCTGTCGATTTTATCAATTCCTGTTACTATTTTGTATGTAGTGATCATATCACCTCTTTTTCTTCTGTCTTCTAGTTTTGGCATGTTTAATGCTTCTAACCTCTCCTCGTAGCTCTTGCCCTTCAGTTCTGGGAGCCACTTAGTAGCATGTCTTTGCACCTTTTCCAGTTTGTTGATGTGCTTCTTAAGATATGGGCACCACACAACAGCTGCATATTCTAGCTTTGACCTAACAAAAGTCATGAACAATTTCTTTAGTATATCGCCATCCATGTATTTAAATGCAATTCTGAAGTTAGAAAGCATAGCATAGGCTCCTTGCACAATATTCTTTATGTGGTCCTCAGGTGATAGTTTTCTATCTAGAACCACCCCTAGATCTCTTTCTTTATCAGAATTCTTTAAAGATTTCTCACATAATATATAGGTTGTGTGGGGTCTATGTTCTCCTGTTCCACATTCCATAACATGACATTTATTAACATTAAATTCCATTTGCCAAGTGGTGCTCCATATACTTATTTTGTCCAGGTCTTCTTGAAGGGCATGACAATCATCTAAATTTCTTATCCTTCCTATTATCTTAGCATCATCAGCAAACATGTTCATATAATTCTGTATACCAACTGGTAGATCATTTATGTACACAATAAACATCACTGGTGCAAGAACTGAACCCTGTGGTACTCCACTTGTGACATTTCTCCATTCCGATACATTGCCTTGTATAGGTGTATAGGTTCCTGTGCCTCTTGGGGGCTCTATCCTGTCTACATGTGACATTGTATGGGGGTCGGCCTCGTTACTTGTGTGTGGAGTCACCACATTACTTCCTAGTGCTTTCCCGTTACCATTCTGACACTAAAAAAAAAAAAAAAAAAAAAAAAAAAAAAATCCATCTGTGGCTCTTTTGGGTACTCAGTTTCCAACTGTGTCCCCTTGTGCGTGTGCCCCTTGTGTTACATAGCCTGTCCTCATCAACCCTGTCGATTCCCTTGGGTATCTTGAATGTGGTGATCAGGTCTCCCCTCACTTCATCTTCCAGCGAAGTGTGGTTTCTTTCCCGTAGTCTCTCCTCATGACTTGGGTAGTGTACTTTTTCTTTCGGAAGGGGTTCTGTTCCCTTCTCTGTTGACTGGGCGCTGGGGGAGCGGCTTGCTCTGTTGCCTCTCGCTTGGTCCCGCTGTTGGTGGGCGCTTTGGGTTGTCTTCCGGCCTCTGCTAGCGTCGGAGGACGGCTTCTCCCCCTTGGGGGGGTTCAGAGCTGGCGGGGTGGGCTTCTTCCCCTGCGCTTTGTCATTTCCTCTTCGTGGGTGCGTGGGGCGTGGTCGATCCGCCCCATCCTTCTGGGCTTCCCATCTGCTCTTTGCAGTCATGCGCTTTTCTCATCTGCAGTTCTTCTGGACTTCTTCAGTCTGCGCCCTCGATCCTCTGCCCTCCTCGGAGGACTGTTGTCTCCTGTTCGGATTCTGTTTGGGCCGGGTGCATGGATGGTGGCCCTGGACCTCCAGGTCACTTCTTGGCACGTTCCTCTCCAGTTTTTCTGGGGCTAGCACGGTTGGTGGTGGGGCTTCAGGTTTGCTGTTTTTATTGCCTTCCCTATTTTGTAATGGGCACTTTGTATACTCTCTGCATCTTTACCGGATCTTAGTGCCCTGTCTGCGTCTGAGATTCGGTGTCTGGCCTACCTCGACGACTGGCTGGTGTGGGCTCCCAGTCAGTCCGCTTGTCTGCTCGCCAGGGGATGGTTCTTTCCAGATCGCTGGGTTTGGTTTCCTGGTGATCTGGAGGTTTTTCCATCTGTTTCCATCCCGGGTTCGGACCTGGGCCTTGTTTAAGGCTCTTGGGCCCCTCATTGTCTTCCCTCCAGAAGTGTTACTGCGGCTGTGGTCCCGCCTTTGGCTGTTCAGGAGGGGGTCCCGGGTTGCTCAGCGGTTGCTTGGGCGGTTGTGTGGGAGTCTGCACTTCGGCGTGCTTGTCTGCCCGCGGAGTCGGGTTTGGCTCCGGCGTCGGTTGGTTCCTGCGGAGACTCCCCTTCCGCCTCTTGCATTCCTTGGGTTCCTCCGGGGATCTTGTGTTGGTGCTGCGTCACCAGCTTCCTCTTTGGGGTTTTCGGGGTTCCGTGCCTTGGCACCTCCCCGAGCCTTCGCTCGATGTGTTCATGGACGGGTCGTCTCTCGGCTGGGGCTTTGTGACCAGTGCTCACCAGGTCGGCCGAGGTTGATGGAGTCTGTCTGTCCGTCGGGCTCACAGCACGGTTCAGGTGTTCATGGCTGTCTGGTTTGCGCTTCGGAGGGTTTGGGTCACTAGGTACTCTACCATTCAGCTCTGGACTGTTCTCTGGTGGTTCTTGCCGGAACCACAGGGGTTTGGCTAACCGTGTGGTTTGTGTCCGGGGTGTGTCCTGCGTCCTGGCGGACAGCTGTCTTGGTTCATTCCTCTTCGTGGGTTGGCCAGTCGTCGCCGATTTGTTTTGTTGGCTCTGTTGGGCATATGGACTCCTGGCCATGGCCGTCTTCGGGTCGGCGTGGTCTAGGCGTCGCCCATTTTGTGGCGCCCTTCCCACCTGCAAGGACTTCACGGTGGAGGCTTTTGGCAGGACTGGTCGCGGTGGGGGGTACCTGTTCCTCTTCTCCCGGTCCAGCTGTTGCTTCGGGTTCTGGCTCGGTTGCTGCCCATTCCCACGTGAACAGTCCTTATGGTTCCATGGTGGCCGGCCCGGCCTTCTTTTCAGACGCTGCTTGATAGGTGTCCGTACCCGGGGCGTTTTTCCTGAGGCTTCGCCTCTTTCAGCAGGCCGAGTCAGTCCTGTCCGTGACTGGTTCGGCCTTCTCCTTGGCTCTTCGCGTCTGGTATTTTGACGCGGGTATCACCATCTCTATGGTGTTCAGGTGGCTTTGTTGACGGTGTCCCACCTGCGAGCTTCGTCTTGGAGACAGTATGTCGTTTCTTACGTTTTCTCGTGTTTTGTTTCCCCTCCGGCCTGCTCATGCGTCGCCTGAGCCATCCTGGTCCTTGTTCAGGGTGCCTTCTTATCTTCCCCTCAGTTTGTGGTAGCCCCTTCGGTTCAGTTTCCTGCTCTTTGGTACTGGTGGTAGCTTTATAGGTGTGCAGCCTTTCTCTGTCCTGGCGACGGTCGAGACGGCTGCTTTCCGGAGGGGTTCTTGGGGTATTGGTGCTTGATTGGTTTGGCCGGGGGGGTGCGTCCTGTGTTGTCCGGTTGTGCTTTTTGCTGTTGCCGGCGTACCGTGTCTGGGGATGCGCTGTGGTTGATCCGGTTCCTTCGTTCCCTGTTTTCAGGGCTCGGGTCTCCCAGGTCGTCCACAGTGTTTTCCTTCTTCCAGCCTGCGGTCTGTCTTTGCGCCCGTGCTGTTCAGACGTTTGCAGCTTTTGCTGCTGTGTTGGTGACGTCTCGGGCTCATTTCGGGCGCAGGGATTTGTGGGTCGCACAGGTTTTTGGCCGCCCATCCATATGTGCGTCTGTTCTTGGGCGTTCTTGTTGCCTTGGGTCGCAGGTTTGCGACCGGTTGTCTTGGCTTTGCGTTGCAGAGTTTGTGGTGGCCGCCTCCCGGGTTAGCCCTTTTTTTTCCTTCTCTTTGGGTATGAAGCTCCAGGGAGCCGTAGGGGCTCCCCACAGAAAACCAGCTTTGAATGTAATGAAACGCCATTTTCTGGGTGAGCCCCGGAGGCTCCCTGGAAACCCTCCCTCCCACCGGTCGGCGGTTTTTTCGCGTTGGTTGAAGCTTACCTTCCGAACTGGAGCTTGGCAGCCGGCGTGGTAGGTCCGGGGCTCCCCCCTCCCCCTTCCCCTCCCGGGGTGGGGAGGGCTGCGCAGACGATTGGCGCAGCAGTAAAGTGTGATGCTTGCTTGTTTGCTAGTTTCCTTGGGATTGTAGGGAGTTTTCTACCTCTCTTCGGTTTTTGTTGTAGTTTCTTACCATGTGGGGTTTGTTTTGTTATGCCTACCTTTCTGGGTGCCTAACCCCGGTCGATGGCAGATCAGGAAAACCCCCAACCATATGGGGTTTTCCAGGGCCATTGCTCCCTGAAACCTCTCTGAAGGGGCCAGGTTCTGGCGCTGGTCCCTGGTAGGTCTGAACTCCTTAGATAATGTCCCGGTCTAACATAACATACATTAGCCCAATAAGCTCCAGGGAGTCTCCGGGGCTCACCCAGAAAATGGCGTTTCATTACATTCAACGCTGGTTTTCGTTTCCTTGGTGATCAGCGCGCAAGTTACAACCACGAACTCTCATTCTTCTTGAATGTAGGGGAACTGGGTCCTCAGGCTAGTACGGAGGATATTGTCTTAGAGGGGGCAGGACTCTCAGTCTCCGCACCAATCTTTGCACAAGGCAACAGTCTTCCAAGTTCTCAGGTAATATCTTTAGTTTCACCGAACTTTATTTTACGAAAGCTGAACTATAGGAGAAAAGAATACCATTGTGCTGTAGTATGTTTCACCAATGTTCATTATTCTGGATAAAATTTGTTATGTATTTTTTATGTACCAATAAACAACATGAAAGTTGAGAATCCAGACAGCTTCTTTATGAATGGCATCCAAGCTGCACATAATGTAACGGATATTAACATGAACTCGGAAGACTTTGAAAGAGAAATTGACAGCATGCCCATGCACTCAGCCCCTGGGCCCGACTCGTGGAATTCAATATTCATAAAGAAATGTAAAGTACCAGTAACACGAGCACTCTGTATAATGGGGAGAAAGAGCCTGGATACAGGAAAGATACCAGCAGCACAGCACAGATATAGCTCCTCTGCACAAGGAGGGTAGTAAAGCTTTGGCAACACATTATAGACCAGTTGCACTAACATCACACATAATAAAAGTTTCTGTGGAGAGCCCCCTTCGGCTCCCCGGAGCTATATCGGGCTGATGTGTATATATATTAGACCATGGCAACAGTTAATCGATGGAATTCTAGGCCTACCAGAGACCAGCGCCAGAACCTGGCCCCCTCAGAGAGGCATGAGAAGCAATGGCCTATAGACACCCACATGTAATTGGAAGCAGTCTATGTCTGCCATCTACCTGGTCAGGCACCCAGCAAGGTAGGAATTCCAGAACAAACTACAGCTGGTCAAAAATTGCAAACCAAAAGCTGAACCAGCAAGCAGAACTCCCCAATCAAAAACAAGCAAACAAGCATGATGTCACCATAGCTGCCACGCCGCCGCTGTCTGAGCCCCCTTAGTCCCCTCTCCCCGGGAGGGCAAAGGGGGAGTCCCCAAACCTCCCGTGCCAGCTACCCAACCCCAGTTCAGAGGCTGTTGTGTTTGGTTGCGGTCGATCAACTCTGGCTTCATCCTTTTGAGCAGTGCTGTCCATAGCAGTATTGTTCTATTGTGTGGTGGTGTGCGAGCCAGGAGTAACACAAGAGTACTGGGGCTTTATGCGTCTAGGGCCACCTTCCCTAGGTGGCCTGTAAGTACTGCCCTTGCGGTTTAGGGTAATCTTTCATTAGCTGTTCGGGAGACTACCTCTGCGTCGTTTATTTGCTGCTCGGTAATTGCCCGCCCTTGAGGTCAGCTTGGGTTGTTGTTATTCCTATTTGATCTTGGGTAGGTAGTAGTATCATTGCTGGCTGGGGCACAAGGTACTGTGCAGCTGTCTGATATACGCATAGCGGCCGGTTCTGTTTCCCTGGGGGATGTTGTGCTTTTGCGGGGTTTTACTTTTTCTTTTGTTTTGTTTTGCCTGGTGGGGGTCTGCCTGGTGTGGCTGTAGGACCACTTGTATGATTTTGGTAGCTCTCTGCTAGGTTTCTGTGATTGCACACACTGCAAGGGTTCAGCTTTTAGTTTATTTGCTTGGTAGCTCTAGGATAACCGGTTAGCAGTACCTTGCCTGGACTTCCCTTAGCAGTCAACCTAAGGGCCCTGGGATTCCCCATTGGGGCTCACTGGTCGATGGAGGAGACCTCTGAGCTCCCAAACGTCTAAGGTGTTTGGAGTCGGGGCAGGATTTTCTTGGTGGTGAGACCCTTCCAGATCAGTGGCAGAAGCATTTGAGCCTGTTCCTCCTGCCGGGGCTTTTGGGTTGTGCCAGTGGGTCCCACTTCATCCCTGCTTTTCTGGTGGACTCTGGCTTTTCACCGGAAGCAGAGGGTTTGGAGGACAGCTCAGCCCCAGGTCCTGATTTGGAGGAACCCGGGGCTGGGGAGGTAATTACCTAAGTGTAATTACCTAAGTGTAGTTACAGGATGAGAGCTACGCTCGTGGTGTCCCGTCTTCCCAGCACTCTTTGTCATATAACGCTTTGAAACTACTGACGGTCTTGGCCTCCACCACCTTCTCACTTAACTTGTTCCAACCGTCTACCACTCTATTTGCGAAGGTGAATTTTCTTATATTTCTTCGGCATCTGTGTTTAGCTAGTTTAAATCTATGACCTCTTGTTCTTGAAGTTCCAGGTCTCAGGAAGTCTTCCCTGTCGATTTTATCAATTCCTGTTACTATTTTGTACGTAGTGATCATATCACCTCTTTTTCTTCTGTCTTCTAGTTTTGGCATATTTAATGCCTGTAACCTCTCCTTGTAGCTCTTGCCCTTCAGTTCTGGGAGCCACTTAGTAGCATGTCTTTGCACCTTTTCCAGTTTGTTGATGTGCTTCTTAAGATATGGGCACCACACAACAGCTGCATATTCTAGCTTTGGCCTAACAAAAGTCATGAACAATTTCTTTAGTATATCGCCATCCATGTATTTAAATGCAATTCTGAAGTTAGAAAGCATTGCATAGGCTCCTTGCACAATATTCTTTATGTGGTCCTCAGGTGATAGTTTTCTATCTAGAACCACTCCTAGATCTCTTTCTTTATCAGAATTCTTTAAAGATTTCTCACATAATATATAGGTTGTGTGGGGTCTATGTTCTCCTATTCCACATTCCATAACATGACATTTATTAACATTAAATTCCATTTGCCAAGTGGTGCTCCATATACTTATTTTGTCCAGGTCTTCTTGAAGGGCATGACAATCATCTAAATTTCTTATCCTTCCTATTATCTTAGCATCATCAGCAAACATGTTCATATAATTCTGTATACCAACTGGTAGATCATTTATGTACACAATAAACATCACTGGTGCAAGAACTGAACCCTGTGGTACTCCACTTGTGACATTTCTCCATTCCGATACAATGCCTCTGATTCCTGCCCTCATTTTTCTATCAGTCAGAAAATTTTTCAACCATGATAGAAGCTTACCTGTCACCCCTCCAATATTTTCCAGTTTCCAGAACAACCTCTTATGTGGAACTCTGTCGAAAGCCTTTTTTAGGTCCAGATAGATGCAGTCAACCCAGCCATCTCTTTCCTGTAATATCTCTGTGGCTCGATCATAGAAACTGAGTAAATTCGATACACAGGATCTTCCTGATCGAAAACCATACTGTCTGTCTGATATTATATCATTTCTCTCCAGGTGTTCTACCCATTTAGTTTTGATTAGCTTTTCCAATACTTTCACTATTACACTTGTCAATGATACAGGTCTATAATTGAGGGGGTCTTCCCTGCTGCCACTTTTGTAGATTGGAACTATGTTAGCCTGTTTCCACACGTCTGCTACGATTCCTGTACACAGGGATGCCTGAAAGATCAGGTGAAGTGGAATGCTGAGCTCAGATGCACATTCTCTCAGAACCCATGGTGAAACGCCATCTGGGCCAGCTGCTTTGTTCCTCCCGAGCTCCTTTAGCATATTTTCCACTTCATCTCTAGACACCTCTATCCGCTCTATGTTGTTCTCTGGAATTCTTATTGTGTCTGGTTCTCTGAAGATTTCATTTTGTACAAACACACTTTGGAACTTTTCATTTAATGTTTCACACATTTCCTTTTCATTTTCCGTGAATCTGTTTCCCATTTTCAACCTCTGGATATTATCCTTTACCTGCAATTTGTTGTTTATGAATTTGTAGAATAGGCCCGGTTCTGTTTTACATTTATCTGCTATCCCTTTTTCAAAATTTCTTTCTGCCTCTCTCCTTACTGCTGTATAATTGTTTCTCGCATCTTTGTATCGCTGGTATGTTTGGGGGTTTGGCCTCTTCCTATACTGATTCCATTTTTGTGTCTTTTGGTCTCTTGCCCTCTCACAATTTCTGTCGAACCAATCCTGTTTTCTGGTCCTGCATCTCTGTTTTGGTATGAATGTTTGTGTGCCTTCCTCGTATAGTTTTAAAAATTTGGCATACATTTCATTTACTTCCCTGCCTAGCAACAATTCTGTCCAATTACACTCATTAAAAAAATTTCGAAGTTTCCCATAGTTGCCTCTCTTTAAATCGAGTTTATCAACTGTTTCAATGTCCCCATTTTCTTCTAGATGATATCTTAAAGCATATTTAATGTCTAACAGGACGTGATCACTCTTTCCCAAGGGAGGAAGGTACTGGATGTCAAAAATCTCTTCTTCTTTCCTGGTGAATACTAGATCCAGTACTGACGGTATATCTCCTTCCCTCATTCTTGTGGCTTGCTTTATGTGTTGATACAAGAATGTCTCCAGAATGAGGTTCACAAATCTGCATGTCCAAAAGTCCTCCGTTCTTGCTTCATAGGCCTCCCAGTCTATTGCTCTAAAGTTGAAGTCCCCCAGTATCAACAGTCGTGATTTATCTTTATCTGCTTGTACAATAATATCTCTCATGACCATTATGAGGCCCTCTCGTTTGTCATCCAGTTCTTCCTTTGTCCATGTGTTGCTTGCTGGTGGGCTGTAGGTATTTACAATTATCAGCTTATCATCCTGGTTCCAGACCTGCAATGCCATTATGTCAATATCTCGAGGGTTTTCAAATATTAACTCTTTTACCTTCAGGTGTTTTTTCACCAGTACAGCCACTCCTCCTCCCTTCCTAGTTTTCCTGCCACGTCTCCAAACTGAGTAGCCTCTTGGGAATATGACTTCATTTATTATATTTCCTTCAAGTTTCGTTTCTGATAATGCAACAATATCTGGGACCCTAAGCTGGATTATATCTTGCAACTCCAAAGTTTTTGACCTCACTCCATCTATGTTGGTATATACAATTTTCAGGAACATGTTCCCTTTTCCTTTGCTCTTTACTCCCCCTTCCACTACTGATCTTGTTGCTTTGTTTTTATGTGTTGACATGGGAGGGCTTGGGCCCTGTTTGACCTTGCTTGGGTGTTGGCACCCTCAGCGTGGGACTTGTTGTTACAGGGGGAGGGGTTTTCCTATCCTCCTCTCCTCTTGGTTTGGGTTCCCTTGGGTTCCTCGGTTCCCTTCTTCTGGAGGTTTCCGGCTTCCCGCCGAGGGAGATGTGGGCTTTGCGGCCTACCTCCCGTGAGACCCGGATTACACCTCGATAATGGATCCTTCTGCTATTGAGTTTGGCTCCCCTTTTCCATACTGGGTGCATTACGAAGTGCTGGAGTCTTCCTGGCTGACAAACTGACCTTTCTTTTTGTTGAGGGCATGGCATGTGTTCTGTTGAACCTGCACACTTGAGTGGTGGGAGTTGACTAGGGTCATTCAGGTTTACCTCGGGTGGGGGAAGGAAGGCGAGTTTGAGTACCTCAATGCCTTCTTGTTTGCCCCCCCCCCCCATGCTTCATTGTAATATTGGCCAGGTGCAACGAAATGTGCAGGTTCCCTCCCTTTTGGCATCCCTGGTGGCCGAGGATTTGCGGCCCCCATGGGCATTTGGTTTCGGTCTTGCGCTTCTTTTCCCTGCTTCTGTTTGGAGGAGGTGTCTTCAGACTAGCTCAAGAAGGATGTGGAGGAGCTGGGTTCCAGGCCTGCATCCAGTGTGCTTGCCTCGGCGGCTCGGGCGTCGGCTGCCTTGTTGAAGTTGTTTGCGCTGATTCTGAAGGAAGTGGTATCTCTGTTCTTTGCTTCACGCCTCGTGTGCCGGCAGGCAGTGCTTGTCCACTCTTTGGAATCCGCTTGGGCCCTGACTCTTAGATTTTTGTCTCCTTTTTGTCTGTTGCTGTTTGCAGAGTCTGCGGTGGTTCATTTTCTGCAGGCGGCTTCTTCTAGTTGCCAGCCTATGTCGGACTTGTTCATTTTCCTTCGGTCGTCATAAGCCAGTTTTGCCAGATTTGGGGCCGGCTCCACCTGTGGAGTCATTGGTGATTGGTTGGCGCAGTGTTTGCTCTGAACATCGGTCGGGTTCTGATGAGGGTCGTCAGCCCTTTCGCAGTTTGCCCCCATTGAGATGGGGGAAAGGCTCATGCTATTTACTCTCGCCTGGTCCCCACGATTCATGGGCGTTTCAGGTCATTTCCTCCGGCCTGCAGTGGCTGGCTCCTCCTCCTTTGAGGGAATTGGGGCTGGCAGGGCAGGCCTCTTTCCCTGCTCTCTGTCGGGGCCTTCATCCAGATGCGAAATGGGACTGTGCGGATCTGTGGTTCATTCTGGACTTGTCCTGTCTGAACCCCTGGGTCTTTTGCCCCTCCTTTCATATGACTACCTTGTCCCAGGTTCAGCTGCTTTTGGAGCCGAGCTCTTGGATGGTGTCCCTGGACCTCCGGGATGCATATTAGTACATCCCAATTTATCCGGGGTTCAGAGACTTTCTCGGTTTTGTTGTGGGGCAACAGGCTTACCATTTTTATTGCCATCCATTCAGCTTGAATCTGGCACCTCGTGTGTTCACTTGTCTTACCCGGGTTGTGGTGACCCGTTTGCGTCTGTTAGGGGTTCGGGTTCTGGCTTGCCTCAACGACTGGCTGGTCTGGGCTCTCAGGCAGTCTGCATGTCTGCTCGCCGGGGATTTGGTTCTTTCCCAGCTCGCTGGGTTGGGGGTTCTTGGTGAACTGGAGGAAGCCCCATTTGGTTCCCTCTCAGGTTCAGACTTGGCTCTCAGGGCCGTTCCTACAGCTGCGGTCCCGCCGTCGGCTGTTTTTGGAGGGCACCCGGGTCACTCGTGAGTTGTTTGAGCAGTTGTGTGGGAGTCTGAACTTCACCATGCTGGTCTATCCGTCGAGTCGGATCTGGCTATGGCAGCTGTTCTGGTTTCTTTGGGGACATACCTTCTGCCGCTCTCACAATCATTGGGTTCAGACCCCAGGGGCCTTGTGTTGGCTGCTGCGTTGCTGGCTTCCTCTTCAAGTTTTTCAGGGTTCTGTGCCGTGGCACCTACCCAAACCCTCGCTCGATGTGTTCACAGATGCCTCGTCTCTCAGCTGGGGCTTTGTGACCAGTGCTCACTAGATCGGCCAGGGTCGGTGTGGTCCGTCCATCCATCGGGCTCACAGCACAGTGTGGGAGTTTGCGGTGATGAGGCATTCGCTTCAGTGGGTTTGTGTCACTCCCAGATCGACTATCCGGCTCCTTTGGACTGCTTCCCCCTGTATTTCATTGTCTGAACCATGGGGATTCAATGCGGTCTTTGGCTTTTTGGTGCTGGTCTCTTTGGGTGATTCGTCTGATGAATTCTCAGGGCATGGTTCTCCTGGCAGTTCATGTCCAGGGAGAGTCCAACGTACTGGCGGCTGGCCTGTCCCATTTCATTCCCCTGTTCACGGAATGGACGGTCGACGCTGACTCTTTCTGTTGGCTCTGCCGAACGTTCGGGCGCTCGTACATGGATCTCTTTGTGTCGGCTTGGTCGAGCATCTTCCGGTATATGTGGCTCTCTTCCCTGACTGTGAGGCTGTCAGGGTTGATGCTTTTCGACTGGACTGGTCGAGGTTTGGTCACCTGTACCTCTTCTTACCAGTTCGGTTGTTGCTCCAAGTCCTGGCTCATCTGGAGACTTACCAGGGAAGTGTAGTCCTGTTGGCCTCTTAAGTGGCGGGCCCAGTCCTGATTTCAGGCGCTTCTCGGTGTCTGAACCAGAGGATCTTCCCGCGGCTCTGCCTCTTTCGGCAAATCGGTCCAGCCTGGTACATGACTGGTTTGATCTTCTCTGCTCTTCGTATCTGGCCTTTTTGACACAGGTGTACTGTATCACCACTTATATGGTGATCAGATGGCTTCGGTAATGGTGTCCCACCTGTGAGTTTCGTATCGGGGCAGTATGCACTTTCCTGGCTGTCCTTTCATCACTTTGTCTCTTCGTAGGTTCTCTTTGATTTCTGATCGAGTTGTTTTGTTCTTTCTCTCTTGGTTGTTTCAGGACCATCATCTTATTCCGAATACTGTCGCCTTGTATCATGTGGCGCTAGCGGAGCCACTTCTACTTTTGTTCGGGATGGATGTCACTTCTACTTTATTCCGCAAGCTTTCTCGGGTATTGTTTCACCTCCGGCCTGCTCATACACCGCATGAGTTGTCCTGATCTTTAGACCGGGTGCTCTCTTTTCTCTCTCCTCCTCGGTTTGTGGTAGCCTCTTTGGTTCAGGACTGCTTTTCTAAGGCTCTTTTCTTGTTATTATTGTCCTCTGGGGGTTGGGTCGGGAGCTTCATGATCTCCTCCGGTGCAGGGGTTTCTGCTCTTTCGGTCCTGGTGGTTGGTTTGCTCATTTGCAACCGTCTCTGTCTTTTCTGCCGAAGAATGAGACTGTTGCTTTCCAGAGGGTTGCCTGGGTTGTTGATGCTTGGTTGGTTCGGCCTGGGATGCATCATGTTTTGTGTCTGGTTATGGCTCTTCGCCGTTACTTGTGCTCCACGGCCTCTGTGGCAGGGGACACATTTTGGGTTGACCCGGTTTCCCTTCTTCCCTGTTCCTGGGCGCAGGTCTCCCAAGTTGTCTGCAGGATTATTCACCACGAGTATAGCTCTCATCCTGCAACTACACTTAAGTACGGTAATTACAAAAGACTTAAATCATGTTGTGAAGTGAATACTAATAGCATTGAACATATCCTGTGCTCAGACATTCTGAAGAATAACCCTGTTAAAAAAAACTTGAATGAATCATAGTAGAACACTAACAAGGAGAAGGGTGAATGTCAGAACAAAAAGGGAGGGAAGCCAGTTCCTCTGACCCCTGTTGTTGTGATGGTGGGTCACTTTGTGGTGGGTGCTTTATCTTTTGATAAACTAACAGTAGTCTGGAAAGCAATAATTGGCAGTCTTAAGTTATTAAAAAGTTCACTTCCTGGGGGAAATTTGAGTGTCATGATTCACTCCTTTGTATCGGTGAGTATTTTCTCTAAATAGTGGCTTGAGTTACCACTGTCAAGCATCCCAAGATATAAGACAGGATTACTTTTATAGATTCCTGCTTGTGTGTGTGTATGAAAGTCTTGAAAACCAAATGATTGGTATGAATTCTTCATGGAAACTATAGGAGCTATTAACTGGGTACCTCCGAGGCAGCCTTAGCTCAGCAATATCTTTTCTTATTTCATAATCATAATTTGTGAAGCAATATTTAATTTGAGTCCTTTTTATTTATTCTAACAGAAACAAGAATATAAATTTCGCCTTCATGAAAATTCTCAGTTTGGTTGGTCTCCACGTCTAGCTTCACGTGACTTTATATCCCTCTTGTCCAATCTTACGGCACTCAAGATAAGAGGAACGTATACATATGAAGGTAAGAAAACATTATTTGTATAAATTGTCTACATGAATTATAGATGCATTATAAATATGTAGAACTCAGATTTCTCATATTTTGACAACTTAAATCTAGTGATAGGTATTTATTGGAGTTGATCTTGGCAAGCGGAAAGAGAGCAACAGTATACTTTATGTGAAGTATGAAAGTGAAAAGCATGCCTAAGTTCAGTGTTTTTGGACTCCAATAGCTATTCTTGATGCCTCTATTAGGCCACATGTTAGGTTCAGGGGTCCTTTTACCCTCAGAACTGAATTGTTTGTTGGCATTGGTCTTATGCTCTGGCTGAGCCATCCTCTCAGGTGGCTGCAAGGGCTGCACTACCTGTTCCTTGGATTCTGTCCCCTGTGGAAGGTCTTTGCTTGTGTTTGCTCCTCTACTGCTTCACATGCATGTTTGTCATGGCCTGTTGCTCGTGTGTTAATCGCACTTATTCACCTCAGCATCAAGTGTCTTGAGTTGCCTTCTCTGGTATTTCCTGGCATTGCCCCCACCTTTAGGATCTTGGTAGTACAGTTGAGTTCATTCTCGACTCGGTCAGGAATCCCAAGTTCAAATCTCGGATAGGACAGAAAAACCTGTCGATGATTTCAAGGATCAAGGTCTCCGTGGCCCTGTCTCTGACCAGTCCTCTGGTTGTTGGTCTGGTCAACAAGCATGTTTGGCTGCTTGCAGCCTAATAGTCACATTCTTGTTGATCAGGTATCCTTTGAAGGTGTTTATCAAGTTCTCTTTTGAGCACTGCAAGAGGCCGGCCAGTTATGCCCAGGGTGTGTGTAGAGGAAGTGTGTTGAAAAGTCTTGCGCCATTGATGTTGATCAAGCTCTCTCTCAGCATGCCTCTTTTCCCTATACTTTTCAGTCAGGCAATTTTGCACATCCTGCAATGCCTTCTTGGTCCCAATATTTTTTTTTCTGGGTGGCGCCCCTTGTGACTCTCTGAAGCTACCATCTCCAATGTAGGTGCCATCAGTTGTGGAGTTCTCTGACCTACCAGAGACCCAGAGCTAGAACCTGGTCCCATCAGAGGTGCAGGAAGCTGTGGCATTTATATATTAGGTTATTCATTTATGCCATCACTGAGGAAGGCACCTATAAAATCAGAGTCAAATAAACAACAACTGGCCTCTTTGGTGGATTTTTACACTTTTTTCTGGACCCAAAACAGGATTTTCCAGGTCTCCGGCTCATTCTCAATCTTTTGGGGCTGAACCAGTTTACTCCTTATCCCCCTCTTTCTGGATGATCGATCTGTTCCAGGTCTGCCTTGCTTCGATGATATCCTTGGATCTCTGAGACACTTATTGACATGTCCCTATCCATCTAAGGTTTAGGGATTAGTTAGGGTTTGTTGTGGGGCATCATGCTTACTACTTCTGATTTCTCTTGTTTGGCCTGGATGGCATCGTGCATTTTCACGCATCCAGTTTAGGTCGTGGTGTCCCTCTTTGTCTCTGAGTGTTCAGGTTTTGGCCTGCCTTGATGACTGGCTGGTGTGGTATGCCTAGTTCAGAGGTATGCCTAGTGGCATACCTCTGAACTTTTTCCAGCTTCGTCTTGTGCTTGACTAGATACGGGCTCCATGCTGGGGCTGCATACTCCAGGATTGGCCTTACATATGTGGTATACAAGGTTCTGAAGGATTCCTTACACAGGTTTCTGAAAGCAGTTCTGATGTTAGCCAGGCTCACATAGGCTGCTGATGTTATTCTTTTTATGTGGGCTTCGGGAGACAGGTTTGGCGTGATATCAACTCTTAGATCTATCTCTCTGTCTGTTTCGTAAAGGACTTCATCTCCCATTTGGTATCCAGTGACTGGCCTCCTAGTTCCTCCTCCTAGTTTCATTACCTTACATTTACTTGGGTTGAACTTTAGTAGCCATTTGTCGGACCATTCCTTTAGTTTGTCTAGGTCATCTTGTAGCCTCATACTATCCTCCTCTGTCTTGATCCTCCTCATAATTATTGCATCATCAGCAAACATCGAGAGGAACGAGTCAATTCCTTCTGGGAGATCATTTACGTATATCAGAAACAGTGTAGGTCCAAGGACTGATCCCTGTGGGACTCCACTGGTGACTCCCCTGGAGTCACCCCCTTGTGTGTGATTCTTTAAGTCTTGTCAACCCCAGTGCAGTAGCTTGGGAAACTACTGATTACCTTACTATAATAAGGCATTTCATTACATTCAGTGCATGGTTTTTCAAGTAGAAATTTGAAGGTTTGTAATGAGTTTGGAATGATTTAGCATAGTGAGGAATAGTGGAAATGTGGAAATAATTTAATATTTATATTTTATCATGTTGAGTGACTACTGTAAATTGTTTTGAAGAAAGTGAATACAAATGTGATAAAATGAGAGGTCAGCTATGTGCAAGGTGAAAGTGTCGGGTTAATATTAGCAGCTATAAAATGTTGTTGTTATATACCTGAGATGAACTTTGCAAAATTGGCACTAATAATAGTTTTCTGAAGGAGCTCCTGGCTCCCTGAAGCTGTCTCGCTGAGATTGCTCCCAGCTACTAGGTCACATCTGTCATGGAGTTCTGTTTGGTCTACTGGGGCCTTGAACCACAACCTGAGTTTCCCCCAGTCACAGAGGCACAGAGAGCAAGTGACATACTCTCACCATCCAAAAAGAATACAAAAAATCAGTGAAGCATTACAGATCACTGCCTTGTTTAAAAAACCAAAGCCTCAAACTGCCAAATGAACTCCAAAACAGTGTAAACAAATGATTGAGTCTCTCAGAACTAGCTTAAACTCATTAGTACCAAACCACCACCACAGAGACCAAGAGACACAAAAATGGAATCAATACAGGAAGAGGCCAAACCCCCAAACATACCAGCGATACAAAGATGCGAGAAACAACTACACGGCAGTGAGGAGAGAGGCAGAAAGAGATTTTGAAAAAGAGATTGCAGACAAATGTAAAACAGAACCAGGTCTATTCTATAAATTCATAAACAACAAATTGCAGGTAAAGGATAATATTCAGAGGTTGAAAATGGGAAATAGATTCATGGAAAATGAAAAGGAAATGTGTGAAACACTAAACGAAAAGTTCCAAAGTGTGTTTGTACAAAATGAAATCTTCAGGGAACCAGACACAATAAGAATTCCAGAGAACAACATAGAGCACATAGAGGTGTCTAGAGACGAAGTGGAAAAAATGCTCAAGGAGCTAAGTAAGAACAAAGCAGTTGGTCCAGATGGAGTTTCACCATGGGTTCTGAGAGAATGTGCACCTGAGCTCAGCATTCCACTTCAACTGATTTTTCAGGCATCCCTGTTTACAGGAGTTGTAGCTGATGTGTGGAAAAAGGCTAACATAGTTCTAATCTACAAAAGTGGAAACAGGGAAGACCCCCCTTAATTATAGACCTGTATCATTGACAAGTGTAATAGTCAAAATATTGGAAAAAATAATTAAAACTAAATGGGTAGAACACCTGGAGGAAAACGATATAATATCAGACAGTATGGTTTTCGATCTGGAAGATCCTGTGTAATGAACTTGCTCAGTTTTTATGATCGAGCCACAGAGATTTTACAGGAAAGAGATGGTTGGGTTGACTGCATCTATCTGGACCTAAAAAAGGCTTTCGACAGAGTTCCACATAAGAGGTTGTTCTGGAAACTGGAACATATTGGAGGAGTGACAGGTAAGCTACTAACATGGATGAAAAATTTCCTAACTGACAGAAAAATGAGGGCCGTAATCAGAGGCAAGGTATCGGATTGGAGGAATGTCACGAGTGGAGTACCACAGGGATCAGTTCTTGCACCAGTAATGTTCATTGTCTACATAAACGATCTACCAGTGGGAATACAGAATTACATGAACATGTTTGCTGATGATGCTAAGATAATAGGGAAGATAAGAAACCTAGATGATTGTCATACCCTTCAAGAAGACCTAGACAAAATAAGTATATGGAGCAACACTTGGCAAATGGAATTTAATGTGAATAAATGCCATGTTATGGAATGTGGAATTGGAGAACATAGACCCCACACAACCTATAAATTATGTGAGAAATCTTTAAAGAATTCTGACAAAGAAAGGGATCTAGGATTGGTTCTAGATAGAAAACCGTCACCTGAGGACCACATTAAGAACATTGTGCGAGGAGCCTATGCTACACTTTCTAACCTCAGAATTGCTTTTAAATACATGGATGGAGAAATACTAAAAAAATTGTTCACGACTTTTATTAGACCAAAGCTGGAATATGCAGCGGTTGTATGGTGCCCATATCTTAAGAAGCACATCAACAAACTGGAAAAGGTGCAATGACATGCCACTAGTGGCTTCCAGAACTGAAGGACAAGAGCTATGAGGAGAGGTTAGAGGCATTAAATATGCAAAAACTAGAAGATAGAAGAAAAAGAGGCGATATGATCACTACGTTCAAAATAGTAACAGGAATCGATAAAATTGATAAGGAAGAATTCCTGAGACTCGGAACTTCAAGAACAAGAGGTCATAGATTTAAACTAACGAAACAAAGCTGCCGGAGAAATATAAGAAAATTCCCTTTTGTAAACAGAGTGGTACACGGTTGGAACAAGTTAAGTGAGAAGGTGGTGGAGGCCAAAACTGTCAGTAATTTCAAAGCATTATATGACAAAGAGTGCTGGGGAGACGGGACACCACGAGCGTAGCTCTCATCCTGTAACTACACTTAGGTAATTACACTTAGGTAATTACTAGGGGACCCAGAGACCCAGCTCTCCCCAAACCCTCCAAAGTCAATTCTGTTGCTGATGTGGTCAGTTCAGGTTGTCCACTGTAGTGTTTGTGTTACCAACCAGTTGTGTTGATACTACTGGCTTAATAGTGTTCACCTGCATTTGCCCTTGAGGTGGCAGTATGAAGTTGCTTGGGGCTTATTTCACCTCTTTGTCCCTCCATCGTCTTTCTTCGATCTCTGTTTGAGTTGTGTCTTTCTGTCTTGATCAGTTCTTGACTAGCATCTTAAGCCTAATATTGTCACTTCTTATTATTCAGCACTGATGGAGCCACTCTTGCTTGCTTTCATTATGGATACTGCTTTGGCACCATTCTAAAAATTGTCTTTTGCTTTGTTTCACCTCTGGCCTGCTCGCAGTCCACCTGAGCTGTCTTGGTCTCTTGACCACATCCCTCGCCATTCTGTCCTCTTCTCTGTTTATGTCTTCCTCTTTGGTCTGGGATTCCTTTCTCAAGGTATTGTTCCTGCTAGCACTCACCTCTGGCTGTAGAGTGTGGAACCTTCCTGCTCTTCTCAAGAGGCATGGGATTGGTTTCCGTGGACCTAGTTGACATTTTATTCTTTTGCAGCTTTCTTCTTTTCCAGTGAAGAATGAGTCGCAGGCTTCTGAAGGGGTCCTTTGATAATTTATGCTTGGTTGGTTCAGCTGGTGGTCACATAATTTGTTGTGCCCAATGGCGGCTTTACATTGCTACCTTCAAGCCACCAATTCTGCCTCGCCAGATGTTTTGTGGGTTGTTATTTCACTTTGGTCCCCCCTGATCCAAGGCTCACATTTCTCATCATTGTGTTATTAGATCTTGCTAGCCTGCAGTCTACTCTCATGTCAATGAGATTCAGAAATATGCTGCACTTGCGGCTGTCTTTTCTAACTAACACGTCCTGAACAGATATTCAGGCACAAGGGTTTCAGAGGTCTAACAGGGTCTTGGCAGCACGGTGTTTGTTCAGTGTCCCTGGGCCTCTTCATGCCTCTGTTGTTTTTGCACGTTTTTGCCCCTTACTAATTTTGGGCGCTACCAGCATCTTGGACCAAACACAAATTCCTTAGCAATATTATACTTTCAATACAAACTGCAAAGTTACTATGCATGGGAAAGTGTTCAATTTGGCATTTTTTTAAGCTTAAGAGTTGTACTTTAAAAGGTATTTTCAAACTGTAGTAAAAGCAATGAAAAATAAAAAGTTAAAGTTAGCCTACATGACGTTGAAAATGACGACTGCAGTCATCATCGGAACGTTCTGGCCTTTTGGGCAAATGACGACTGAAGGTGTCACAAAAACATTAGATGGGTTAACTTCTCTAATAATTAGCAATATGTGAGTATAAAAAAAGAACTACTGTAATGTTAAGAATAAGGTTTGTATCAGAGTTTATAAATCAACTTTAAGTAATATATGATGTGTTGGTAATATTTAGTACTGTACAGTGGCGTCTCGATTAATGAGTTTAATCCGTTCCGGCACCGAGCTCGTCATGTGGAAAACTCGTCTTGAGAAATAACAACAAAACTGTCATCGGAGGTGTCCGAGAACTAGCGGGAACGCTCGTTAATTGAGCCAAAGGGTGTCAGTCGAGACATATTTTCTGTGAGTGGCTTGCTCGTTACTCGAAATGCTCGTAACTGGAGCCACTCGTCACTCGAGATTCCACTGTATAAATATTTGACGTTTAATGCATTGTCAATACTATAAATATATACCTTAAGCTGTATATTAATAGAACTGTTAAATACCAGAATTATTATTTCAGGTCGAGGTTTTGTAGATGATATAAAGCTAGAAACAGCAAGACGTGGTGTATTTGGTGTTCCGGCACGTTGGATAGAGATGTGTACCTGTCCAGAAGGTTATGTAGGTCAATACTGTGAGTCATGCGCTCCTGGCTATAGACACAACCCCGCTAATGGTGGACCCTTTGCCACCTGTATTCCATGTGACTGCAATAGTCATGCAGACATTTGTGATTCTGAGACTGGTATGTATATCCAAACCTTACTGTTTATCTATTGATATCTTCAATGATGTGTTTGCTCTGGGAACTCCCCAGTCATGATCAGGTGATAATATGCACATTCTGACACACACATTTCAGATGCAGAGCTCCTAAAACATTGTTTAAAAATTCCGCATGTTTATTTGACTATCATAAAAGTGATGTGGATGACATTTGCATCCAGTGAAAAGCAATACTAGCATGTACAAGTCAGACAGTGGGAAGGAAGGTTGTTGATGAAAAAGAAATATTAAGGCTGCAAACTTTTTTTTTGAAAGATCTATTCTTAGCTGGAGTAAATGGACATTTACATGTAAAGTGCTGGTGTCTGGGCAGCCGCCGGGAACCCGTCGGCACTTGCTACGTCGCCCACCAGGGGCTCACACACACTTGAAAAAGTTATTGACTTTTTGTTATTTAAAGTTATTGTCATTGAACAGTTAGGAAATGAATCAAAATAAGAAACATTGAGTCTAAAAAAACCAGCTTTGAATGTAATGAAACGCCATTTTCTGGGTGAGTCCCGGAGGCTTCCCAGGACTATCCAGGCTGAATGAATATGTATAACTTTCTGGCATCAGTCAATGTGCACAGAGTTCTTGCCCACCGGGGACAACGAGCCAGAACCTGGCCACCTCAAGAGAGGCACGAGGAGCAATGGTCTATAGAAATCCCCATATGGTTGGGAGCGTTCTGTGTCTAACATCGACCAAATCTGGCACTCAGAAATGTAGGCGCCCCAAAACAAACCCCTATTCTGGTGAAACCATTGCTACTGAAAGCCAAACGAGTGGACAGAACTCCCCATACAAAAATTAGCAAATGAGCATGACGTCATCATGTTGCCACGCCGCTGTTGGCGCAACCCCCTCCCTCTCCCTGGGAGGAGGAAGGGGGAACCCCAGACTCCCACATCAGCAATCCAACCTTCAATTCTTAGGCTGGATGTCAAAATACGCAAAAACACCACCGACCGGAGGGAGGGAGGGATGCCGGGGAGGGTCTGGGACTCGTCCGGCGTTTCATTACATTCAACACTGGTTTTCTGGAGGGAAGCCCTGTCAGTTTCCTGGAGCTAACTACCCAAAGACAAGGAAAAACAGGGACTTACCCGGACGGTGGTCAGTCCTCACTCCTAAACTTGAAGCCAAGACAACTGGCTGTAACTGCCGACCCAATGCAACGCATGCTCAGGGACATTGACAAGGTAGTGAGCAGCCAGGAACCTTGTTCAACCTCCAGAAACCCTCGTGCCCGAATGTCAACCCAAGACATGTTGCCAAAGAAGACAGCCAAAGCAGCAAACTTATGCACGTCATGGAAACGAGGATAAACCGCAGGCTGGTTAGCCTTAATAATCCTGAGGATGACCTGGGAGACTTGAGCCCAGGAACAGGGAAGAAGGGAAACTGGTTCAACCCAAAGCGCATTCCTGGCCACTGGAGCCATGGCACATAAATAATGGCGGAGAGCCGCAACCGGACACAAGACATGATCCTCCCCCCCCCCTTTCCGCCAGCCTGACCAAACGAGCAATATCAACCCAAGGACCCCTCTGGAAAGCAGCAGTCTCCTTCTCCAGAAAAGGAGGAGACAACTGCAACCGAACAAACCGATCACCAGGACCAAAAGAGTAGAAACCTCCTGCACTGGAGGTAAGCATGAAGCTCCTCGACCTGACCCCAAGAGGCCAATGCCAAGAGGAAAAGAGCCTTGGAAAAACAATCCTGAACCGAAGGGGCCACCACAAATTGAGGACGAGAGATAAGAAAGTACCCAGTCCAATGACCAGGATGGCTCAGGCAGCTCATGAGCAGGCCAGAGGTGAAACAATGCACGAGACAACTTGCGGAATGGAGCAGAATGTAACATCAATACCGAATGCAAGCTGGAGTGGCTCCGCCAGCGCTGCATGATAGAAGGCGACAGTATTTAGCATAAGATGACGGTCCTGAAACAACCACAACAGGAAGGACAAAACAAACCTATCAGAGACCGAAGTACACCTATGCAGTGATAGGAAAAACCAGAAGGACCGCCAGCAAACCTCATACTGCCGCCGAGACGAGGCATGCAGATGGGAGACCAGCAATGAATCCACCTGCGCCCCATACAAATGGTGATAGACCCAGGTCAGAAAGACCAGACGCGAAGACTCGAGGAGAAGAGCGAACCAGCCTCGTAACGGGAAGAACTGATTTCCTGAAAGAGGTGGAGCCACGGAAGACCCTCGGATTCAGACACCGAGCAAGCAGCGCCTGAAACCAAGGTTAAGCCAGCCACTAAGGGGCCAAGAGGACTACACTTCCCTGGTATGTCTCCAAGCGAACCAGGACTTGGAGCAAAAGCTGAACCAGGGGGAAGAGGTACAGGTAACCCCACCTCACCCAGTCCTTTCTGAAGGCATTGACCTTGACAGCCTCACAGTCAGGGAAGGGTGCCATGTGTACCGGGAGACGCCTCGACCACGCCGACGCAAAAGTGATCCACTTCCGGAGGCCCAAACTTCCGGCAGAGCGAACGAAACAAGTCGGTGTCGACTGTCTATTCCGTGGACAGGGTAATGAACCGCAACAGGGCGTCCACCAGGACATTGGACAGTCCTCGAACGTGAACCACCAGGTTCTGGTTCGTAGTCCCTGGTAGGCCTCAGAACTCCATTCACACTGACTGATGCCAAAGTCTAATAGATCCATATCTCTCTCTTTGGGATATGGAAAGAAAGAGGGAGGGGGGTAATGGGTGTGGGGAAAGAGAGAGGGAGAGGGGTAATGGGTGGGGGGAAAGAGAGAGGGAGGGTTAATGGGTGTGGGGAAAGAGAGAGGGAGGGGTTAATGGGTGTGGGGAAAGAGAGAGGGAGGGGTTAATGGGTGTGGGGAAAGAGAGAGGGAGGGGTTAATGGGTGTGGGGAAAGAGAAAGGGAGGGGTTAATGTGTGTGGGGAAAGAGAGAGGGAGGGGTTAATGGGTGTGGGGAAAGAGAGAGGGAGGGGTTAATGGGTGTGGGGAAAGAGAGAGGGAGGGGTAATGGGTGTGGGGAAAGAGAGAGGGAGGGGTAATGGGTGTGGGGAAAGAGAGAGGGAGGGGTAATGGGTGTGGGGAAAGAGAGAGGGAGGGGTAATGGGTGTGGGGAAAGAGAGAGAGAGGGAGGGAGGTAATGGGTGTGGGGAAAGAGAGAGGGAGAGAGGGTAATGGGTGTGGGGAAAGAGGGAGGGAGGGGAGTAATGGGTGTGGGGAAAGAGAGAGGGAGGGGGTAATGGGTGTGGGGAAAGAGAGAGGGGGAGAGCGTAATGGGTGTGGAGAAAGAGAGAGAGGTAATGGGTTCAGGGAAAGAGAGAGGGAGGGAGTAATGGGTGTGGGGAAAGAGGGAGGGAGGGAGGTAATGGAAATGGGGAAACAGGGGGAGGGAGTAATGGGTGTGGGGAAAGAGAGAGGGAGGGGGGTGTGGAGAAAGAGAGAGGGAGGGGAGTAATGGGTGTGGAGAAAGAGAGAGGGAGGGGGTAATGGGTGTGGAGAAAGAGAGAGGGAGGGGAGTAATGGGTGTGGGGAAAGAGAGAGGGAGGGGGTAATGGGTGTGGGGAAAGAGAGAGGGAGGGGAGTAATGGGTGTGGGGAAAGAGAGAGGGAGGGGGTAATGGGTGTGGAGAAAGAGAGAGGGAGGGGGAGGGGGTAATGGGTGTGGAGAAAGAGAGAGGGAGGGGAGTAATGGGTGTGGGGAAAGAGAGAGGGAGGGGGTAATGGGTGTGGGGAAAGAGAGAGGGAGGGGAGTAATGGGTGTGGGGAAAGAGAGAGGGAGGGGGTAATGGGTGTGGAGAAAGAGAGAGGGAGGGGAGTAATGGGTGTGGGGAAAGAGAGAGGGAGGGGGTAATGGGTGTGGAGAAAGAGAGAGGGAGGGGGTAATGGGTGTGGAGAAAGAGAGAGGGAGGGGAGTAATGGGTGTGGGGAAAGAGAGAGGGAGGGGGTAATGGGTGTGGAGAAAGAGAGAGGGAGGGGAGTAATGGGTGTGGAGAAAGAGAGAGGGAGGGGGTAATGGGTGTGGAGAAAGAGAGAGGGAGGGGAGTAATGGGTGTGGAGAAAGAGAGAGGGAGGGGGTAATGGGTGTGGGGAAAGAGAGAGGGAGGGGGTAATGGGTGTGGAGAAAGAGAGAGGGAGGGGAGTAATGGGTGTGGAGAAAGAGAGAAGGAGGGGGTAATGGGTGTGGAGAAAGAGAGAGGGAGGGGAGTAATGGGTGTGGAGAAAGAGAGAGGGAGAGGAGTAATGGGTGTGGGGAAAGAGAGAGGGAGGGGGTAATGGGTGTGGAGAAAGAGAGAGGGAGGGGCAGTAAGGAAGAAAGAAGTCTGGAATATGTCTTATTTATATGTCTATCATTATTAAAGGTTTTTAATAACTCTTTATTAATGTTTTCTTATTGACAGGTCGTTGCATCTGTCAGCACCACACAGCTGGAGAACAGTGTGAACGTTGTGCTAAAGGTTACTATGGCAATGCCTTGCGTGGGACACCAAATGATTGTCAGACGTGCCCTTGCCCTAATGGAGGTGCATGTATTCAGCTTCCAGACGACACTGTTGTTTGCCTTGAATGCCCTACAGGATATGCAGGTAAGCCTTAAATATTCCAATATTTTTTACAAAATTTTTTTCATTAAATACAAAATACAAAACTGCTTAGCATCGGTTTGCAATATTGTTTAGTTTGTTTATACTGTAATTAATATATTAGCACTTACTGTGGTAATAAAAGATATATAAAAAAAGGACAAACATATCTTTCAATTCTTTTCTTAGTCCTAGCAGCCAGTTATTTATCATGAAGACTTTCCAAGTCTTCCTACTTCCTCTAATTTAGATGTTCTTTAATTTGCCTCTGGCCCCCCTGTATCTTTTTTGACTTGTTAACTCATTTTCTGAGGGGAGCCCCTACGGCTCCCTGAAGCTTATCCGGCTAACATATTTTATATTAGACTGGGACATTAGCTATGCAGTTTAGACCTACCAGGCACCATGAGCCAGAACCTGACCCCTTCAGAGAGGTTTCAGGAAGCAATGACCCTGGAAAACCCCCTTGTGGTTGGGGGTTTTCCTTATCTGCCATCGACCGGGGTTAGGCACCCAGAAAGGTAGGCATAACAAAACAAACCCCACATGGTAAGAAACTAACTACAAAAGCCAAACAGAGAGGTAGAACTTCCTTCACTCCCAAGGAAACAAGCAAACAAGCAAACGTAACACACCACTCGTTTGCGCAGCTCTTCCCTCCCCGAGATGGGGAAGTGGGAGGGGGCCCCCCGACCTCATCGTGCCAGCTGCATAGCACTACAGTTCGTAAGCTAATATCAACCGGGACAGACGCTTCTCTGGCCTCAGTTTCCTAAGCGGTGTTTGCCTCCATGGCGTTCACTGCCTTGTCTTGTATTGTGTGGTGGCCAGGTGTTCCTCATCAGTACCGGGGCTGCATGCACTTAAGGGCTTACTTCCCTAAGCGCTCTGTGAGTACTGCCCCTGCGTGCCAGGGTTATCTTCCTTGGGGCGTTCGGGACCCTTTCTCATAGGGGTCCTTGCTGTTCGGCATTTGCCTCGCCCTTGGGGCCAGCTGGGGCTTGGGGCCCTTGTTTGGCTTTGGGTAGGGACTGGTATCTAGCTGGTTGGGGCGTCAAGGTGTTGCGCGACCTGCTACCTACGCTGCGGCCGGTTCCTGTTGCCTCTGAGGACGATGTACTTTTGCGGGGTATTATTTTTTTCTTTTCATTTGCCTGGTGGGGGTCTGCCTAGTGTGGGTATAGTTCCATTGGTGTTGTTTGGTGACCCTCTGCTAGGCCCTTGTGATTGTACACATCTCAGGGGTTTTCATTGTTAGTATCTCCCCGTTGTTAGCTTTGGATGTTAACCGGTTAGCAACACCTTGCCCAGGCTTCCCGTAGTCGCTACCCTGCGGGGCCTGGAAAATCCTGTCGAGGCTCGGTCCATGGACTACTGGATGTGTCTTATGGGTTCCAACCCATCTTGTGCAGGTTCGTTGGTTGCTGTGCCCTTGTCTCAGGGGTGACAGGGGGTCCTCTTTTACCTCCGTCATGCTGCCTGTTGGGTCACTGACACTTTGGCCCGGAGTATTGTGAGTTGTGTTCTCTGTTCTACTGCTTGTACTCCATGTACTACTGTTAAGAGTGTATTCGCGTTACATGCTCAGTCAGGTTGCTGCAAAGCACTAGGTTGGTTTCCCACCCGGATGCTCCGGGGCCGCCCCGTTTTGGTTAGGTGTTGTTCACCCCTTTCCCCTCCCTGTTCTTGGCTCCTGCCCATCTGCAAGTTTCGGGGTTGGGGCAGGGTTTAGTTGATGCCAAGACTTGGGCGGCTTCAGGGGCTACCCCGTTCAGGTTGGGGACAGAGGTTTTCGAGCCTGTTCCTCCTGCCAAGGCTTCTGGGTCTTACCAGCAACCCTTTCTTTGCTATCTTTTCCCTGGACTCATCTTTTTCTTTAAGGGCAGAGGGCATGGATGACGGCTTTGTCCCAGGGCCTCTGTTGCAGGTTCCCGGAGCTGTGGGGAATGCCCGCTTACAGTTGTGGGGCTGTTTGCTCCTGCCTGGGTTTTCTGCTTCTAGGAGGGGTTATTCGTCCCTCTCGTCTGCTTACTTCCCACATTTGCTGGTGTGTTTTCGGATCTCTTGCGTCAGTCGTGGCTCTTTTTGCATTTTCTGTTTGGGGCTGGGCCCTGGGATTTTGGCTCAGTGTTCCTGTCTGTTTCTGCTTGCTCCCACACCTTGTGTCCTTCTGTTTATGGTTCGTTTTGGCCGTTTTACTGGGGGTTCTGTCTGGGTGCTGTGCTTTGCCCTTTCTGTGGTGTATTCCCACTGGCAAATGTGGTGGTTTTGGCTTCCCCTGGTTCAATTCTGGGTTCCTTTGGGTTCTCTGGTTTCATTCTGGAGGTTTCTTCCTCTTGGCCCCCCTTTGAGGGTTCAGGAGGCCTTTAGTTACCTCGTGGGTGCCTTCTGCCTTCTGGGGTTCCGGGGTCTTCCTGGCTTGCATGTTGCTTTTTTTTGGGGGGGGGGGGTCTTGGCACGTGTTGTGGTCATGCCGATTTTTGTTGTCGAGGTTGGCCTTTTGGTGTGGTTTTTGTGCTTTATCGGTGCCTTCTTAGTCTGGCCGGCGCGGTGTTCTCTGCCCACCAGTCGGCGGCTTGTCTTTTTCTTTTCTTTCTTCATTTGTATTTTTTATTTTCATATATATTTATATACACATTTTCTTTCGGAAGGGGGTCCGATCCCATCGCTGTTGATGGGGCACTGGGGAGTGCAGCTTGCTCTGTTGACTCGCGGTTGGTCCCGCAGTTCGTGGGCATTTTTGGTTGTCTTTCGGCCTCTGGTGACGTCAGGTGGCTCCTCCCCCTTTGAGGGGTTCGGGGCTGGTGGGGTGGGCTTCTCCCCCTGCGCTTTATTATGTCATCTTGGTGTGGGTGCACTTGGACGTGGTCGATCCGCCCCATCCTTCCGGGGTTCCCATCTGTTTCAATGCCTGCTTGATACCTGCTTGTTGGGGTTCTGGTAGTTCTTCTACTTCCCAAGCCTGGCCTGAGGCCAAGCTTGACTTGTGAGAGTTTGGTCCACTAGGCTGTTGCTTGGAGCGGCCCGCAGGCCCACATACCCACCACAGCCCGGTTGGTCCTACTTTACCAGTTATTCCCATTGACTTCATTTTGTGTGCTATCACTGCATGATCACATTTATCGAATGCCTTTGTGAAATCTGTGTATACCACATCTGCATTCTGTTTTTCTTCTAATGCTTCAGTGATTTTGTCATAATGGTCAAGTAGCTGTGAGAGGCATGATCTTCCTGCTCTAAATCCATGTTGGCCTGGATTGTGGAGGTCATTGATCTCCATGAAACTAGTGACCTGACTCCTGATCACTCTCTCAAATACTTTTATTATGTGGGACGTTAGTGCAACTGGTCTATAATTCTTTGCCAATGCTTTGCTACCTCCCTTGTGTAGAGGGGCTATGTCTGCTGCTTTAAGCGCATCCCCCATGTCCAAGCTCTTCCTCCACACTATACTGAGTGCCTGTGCTACTGGCACTTTGCATTTCTTTATAAATATTGAATTCCATGAGTCTGGACCTGGGGTTGAATGCATTTGCACATTGTCAATTTCTTTCAAAATCTGCCATGCTCGTGTTCATATCAGTCATATTTACAGAGGTTTTTACAGAGGTATCACCCATAAAGAAGTTGTCCGGATCCTCCACTTTCATGCTGTGTATCGGGGTGCTAAACATGTCCTCATACTGCTTTTTTAGGATTTCACTTATTTCTTTGTCATCCTCAGTATATGAACCTTCACTAGTACGAATAGGTCCAATACTGGCAGTGGTTTTTGCTTTTGATTTAGCATATGTGAAGAAATATTTTGGGTTATTCTTTATTTCTTGAATTGCTTTCTGTTCTAATTGCCTTTCTTCAATCTAATCTTCAGTCTCTGGTCGATTTCTTCAATATCCCTTTTAAATTATTCCTTCTTTGTATGGAAAGCCGTATTTGCTTCAACATTTCCGTTAACTTTTTTCTTCTTTTGTAGTGTCGTCTGCATTCTCTTTCTACGTTGGACCTCTTTCTGGCTTTCCTCAAAGTAACATGTTTCAGACAAACTTCATAGGCTTCAGAAGTCAGTTTTTCTATTCCTTGTGTAGGATTTTTATTACTTAAAACATTTTCCCATTGAATGTTTGTAAGTTCCCAGTTTATTTTCTCCCAGTCTATCCTTTTATTATTAAAATTGAATTTATTGAATAGCCCTTCTCGTTTCTTGTTTCTCTTGGGCCTACTACCGTTATTGATGTTAGTTTGCACTTCAATGAGCTTGTGGTCCGGGTACATAGTGTCCGAAACAGTAATGTCTGATTAGCTCATCATTGTTCGTGAATATGAGGTCCAGCGTGTTCTCGTTCCTAGTCAGATCTGTAATCTGCTGACTGAGCGAGAATTTGTCACAGAATCTCAGTAGTTCTCTGACCTGTGATTATTTCCAGGTTGATTTCCTGCTATAATGCTATTGTTTACTACTCTCCATTGTAAACTGGGTAGATGATACAGTGCTATAGATTGTGTCCTTGTCTATGTCCGATATGAGGATGAGAAAGAGTACTGGAGCAAGCACAGTACCCTGGGGGACTGAGCTCTTCACGGTTGATGGACCGGATTTTATTTTGTTGACTATTACACATTGGATTCTGTTACTTGGGAAATTGTAGATCCATCTGCCTATTTTTCCAGTAATTCCTTTTGAACACATTTTATGTGCAATAACACCATGGTAACATTTGTCGAAGGCTTTTGCGAAATCTATGTAAATTACATCAGCGTTTTGTTTGTCTTCCATGGCATCTAATGCCATGTCATAGTGGTCCAGGAACTGTGACAGGCAAGAGTGCCCTGTCCTGAAACCATGTAGTCCGGGATTATGGAGATGCTGTGATTCCATGTATTTTGTGATCTTACTTCTTAGAACTCTCTCAAAGATTTTTATGATGTGCGATGTTAGTGCTATCGGTCTGTAATTTTTTGCCTCTGCCTTATTTCCTCCTTTATGGAGTGGTGCTATCTCTGCT